GTGTTCCCCCCTTTCGCGCCAGACTCCCCACTGCGCCCGCCCCCAGCCCAGGCGGCTCCGCACAATGGCTGCTTTTATTTTTCCATTTCACTAGTTCCGAGGGCTGCTGGTTGACCCCACCATCGGGACATTTTCCGGCAGCGGGATCTTTACAGCGGGGGCCCAAAGCATGAGCAACCACACGGTTTGAGGTGGCTTTTCTTCTTGGCGCATCATTCGGGGCCCGACGCCAGGAATCCGCCGGGCTGCGTTCCTGCGGGAGTTTCACACTTGACTCACGCGGTCATTAACTTTCGTCAGGATCGCGGCGCAGTTTCAGTTTCCGATTCAGACTCCGGCTCCGGAGCGGCGCTCCGAAGGGGGCTGGCCTGCTCTGGGTTTGGTCACCCCGGACACCCGGCCCCCTGCCTCCTCCCCTGGCCATGGACGTGGGGAAGGCAGAAGACGGAGGGTAGGAGAAAGTCCTAAGGGTGTACTATTAAACTGAACAAAAAACCGAAAGCACCAGAAAACAGTTCCGGAGGGAGAAAAAGCCGTTTTCCTGTTCCAAAAGGGGACACGCGGGGCCCCGGGGGCAGTGCATTCAGCTCAAGGTCAGACAGGAGACCGCCTGCCTTAAAACCAGGAATGTGCCCGTTCCGAAGGATCAGAGTCACTTGTCGGTGCCGGAAAGAAAAACCTGTCTTATTTAAGAAAGGAATCTGTCTTATTTTGGGTCCAGTAGATCCCAAACCAGGCAGGACTGCGTTTGCAACATGAGCAGCTGAAAAAGCTCCTTCACTTTGGAGCGCGTTTTCCCTTTCACGTGTGCTTGGCTGAGTTTTAGACAAGATCCCTAGTTCGCCTGCAGCCCTCTCTGGTTTTTCGGAGGAAACCTGGGTTTTGGGTGGAACAGGTTTCCACCCCCTGGCCCTGTGAGCCTCACAGGAACATTCCTGATCGACCCTCCCGCCCCAGCCTGGGCCCGCGCCGGGGAGTCGCTGTCATGTCTTGCTTCTAGCCAAGTGGGCACAGCTTCTGCAAAGGACATCTTGTTGTCATGGCCTGTCGGCACCGGGGGGGCTGCAGGCTCGCCCCTCTCCGGCCTCTCTCTCATCAGCCCGCCATGTCTGACTTTCAGCTCGGGAAGCTCCGGCCTGAGTAAGGAAACAGTCAGGTACCCGCGCTGCCTGTTGCCCATAGATGGACCGTTCACACAGCTAGCAGCGGCGGCAGCAGCATTCCTGGGCCCAGGAGCCTGGCCAATCGCCGCCTTGCACAGGCCCTGCGACCAGAAACCCCCGCGTAGCGTG